ATTACTCTATATCCTCACCATTCATTTCCATCTGTTTCCATTGCAGCCATACCTATTGAGTGTGAAGTAGCATCACATTGTGGTTTTGATTTGCATTTCCCTGATGGCTAATCGTATGGAGCATCTTTTCATGTGTTTAATGTATATCTTTTTTGGAGAAATGTCTATGTAGATACTTTGCTCATTTAAAATATCAGGTGTTTGTCTTTTTATTATTGAGTTGTGAGTATTCTTTACATATTCTATGTATAAGTCCCTTATCAGATTTATGATTTGAAATATATTCTACCAATTTGTGGGATGTCTTTTCATTTTCTTGATGGTATCCATTGAAGCACAAAAGATTTTAAGTTTGACTTAAGTCCAATATACCTATTTTTTCTTTTGTCATTTATGCTTTTCATGTCATAGTTAGGAAGGTTTTGCCTAACCAAGGTCATGAGGATTTATTGCTATATTTTCTTCTGAGAGTTTCATAGTTTAATTCCTACATTTAGGTCTATGTTACATTTTCAATTAATTTTTATATATGGTGTGAAGAAGGGGTCTTTTTTGCATGTGGGTACCTAGTTGCCCTAGAACTATTTGTTGAAAAGACTGTTATTTCCCCCATTGAATTGTGTGAATTCATCATGGGGAGAGAGGTGTGTGTGCGTGCACGTTGCCGGTTTTTGTGAAAAGATAAATTATATAATATTTTTGTCTCTTAAACTAAACAAATCTAAAACAGATATGTCAGTGTCTCTCTCTGTTTCTTTTGAAAGTCAAACAGTTATACAAATGACAAGCATACATCATGTTTTCTTTATGGCTTTCTTCCCTACAGAACCCTGAATAATTTGGAAAAACAGATGTGTACTATACTTTGCTTTAGTTGAAGGCTATCTGACTAAATCTCTAAAAATTACCAGGATCATGTTTTCCCTGAATTGATTCATAATATGGACATATGTTTGTGAAATCCCTAAAAGAAACTTCTGTATTTATTTATGACAGGACTGCTTAATGAGATCTACATACCCCATGTCTACATAAAAGGATAGGGTTCTGTGTAATATTTACTCTCAATCATTTAGACATATTAAACTGACACAGCATCAAAACTGACAGATTTTCTTTGCTTCATTGATATTTCCTGGCTTTTTTGACCCCGTAACTATAATACTAGACATTTTTTTTGTTTCGAGGAGGAATGAGAAAGCATCATGCACATTTGCATTTCATTGAAGTATCTGCCTTTTTATTGCACAGTTTCAGCTGCTTGTACACATTCTCAAGTTTTTTTTTAAGATCTAGTTTTCAGGACTCACTTTAGTGTAGCAATTTTGTGCCCCAGTTTTGCCAGTTCTTTGCACTCAAGTCCCACTGAAAGTAAAAGGGCTCCAATCTCATTAGGGAAAATTGCACAATAACCTGCAGATAGGTGTCTAAACATCTTCATGTTAGCTCTTCAGATTTTTCTCAGTACTCAGGGACCTGAAGCGCGTCCCTACAACTGCAACTTTAGGTAGGTGATTGCCTCAAACAAAGGCTAGTTTGGATTTTGTAGTCCATAAATAACTGCCCATGGAAGAATTAAAGAGCAAAACCCTAGGCTTCTTACAGCTAGGAAGATGCTTGGCAGTAATTAGCATAGAGGTAGTTCCATGTTGTGGGAAGACTTTTATTTTTTAAGCTTATTTAACCCCAAATCTATAGTGTTTTATTTCTGCCATAAAGACAGTTTACATTTACAGTCTACCACCACAGTTAATAGAGATAGAAGTAATTGTAACTACAGTATGGTTAATGAAGACACAGTACATAAAATGTAAACTTTGCTGATTCTCTAATTGGTATAAAAGCCTAAAACACACAAAAGTGGTCTTTATAACATAGTATAATTAAACACCAGTAATTGACAGAAATAAAATCTTAGATTTAACAATACATATTTTCATCTTAAGAAAATTTGTTTTTACTGTATTATTAAAGATTTCCTGCATTCTCTGGAGCTGCACTATCCAATATGGTAGTCATTAGTCACATGTGGCTGTTGAGCCTTGGAAGATGTTTTGAATATAAAAGATACACTGGATTTTGAAGACTTAGAATAAATTTAAAAATGTAAAATATCTAATAATTTTTATGTTACTGTACACATTGAAATCATATTTTGTATATATTGGGTTAAATAAAGTACACTGTTAAAATTAATTCTGCCTGTTTCTTTACACTTTTTATATGTGGACACTAGAAAATTTAAAATTACATACATAGCTCACATTCACAAATGTTTTTTATGGATTCACTTTACGTTTTTATGGGACAGTGCTGCTCCAGAGGCTAAGGGACTGTAACTAATAGTCTACACTGGGGTTCCATTTTTATATGATCTATTACGCACATTTTTCTCCTCAGGTGTTATAGTTCACTGCATAGTATATAACATGGGTTCAATACTTCTCAATGCGTATTTTTGTTTTATCATACCTCTTTACTGTTAAACGGTCTATTTCTTCCGAGAACACCTTTGTCCACTTTACCTACCTGGCAAATTCTTTTTACCTTTCAACAGCCAGCTGAAGTATTACTTTCTCTGTTAAATGTTCTCTAAACTCCCTTACCTCACACCATATCCCAAATAGAAAGACACATTCTGTCCTCTGGACTATGACAGTATCTTGGCCAACATCTATCGAATGTCTGCTGTTTGCGGAGCACAGAGATTAGGTGGTTAGGGATGATCAAATGTGAATGAGAGTGATATGGCTGCTGTGCCTATACTGCTTGCATTTTAGAGTGGGATACAGAAGAGTAAATATTGACTCACAAAATAGCTTGAAAAATGCTACACAGGAGAGATTTAGGGAACACACCAAAGGCTTACTTCTCCCAGACTTTGTGGTAGAAAGGTGTATAGACTCAACTATAAGCATCTGATTTCACAGGAACTCTGGGCTTTAAACCATACTTATGTGTTTAAGTATATAAATTGAATGACATCTTTTTTACATCACAAATGGCTCAAATGAGAATTGGCTTTATAACACAAATCACCGAATAGGCATTATATTACACATATGCCCTTAGTATCCTTGCAATGATTCTCTTAGCCAGGAAAGTTAGGTATTGATTTTTTAAAAACAAAGGACAACAACAAAACAGTCTCCACACAATTAGCATGATTAAGTAAAAATGAATTCCACGAGAGGTGTGCAATTTACTTAATACTACTGAACTATCAGAAGAGTTCAGGATTTTAATGATTTGATTTTTGTGGTTGAGCAGATAGATTAATAATAAGTTAGCAGCTTTGGTAAGTCATTTAACATATGGCAATGGACTTTTTAACACTAGTGTTGGAGGGCAGGACCAATACTTGGCTTGTTGGGCAGCATCGGTGATTCAAACTCTCATTAAGAAGCAAAAGAAATGATTTTAAAAGCAACATTTGAATAGTCCAAATATTGGTCCCTAAGTCTATGTACTAAGGTGTGTGTGCCTTACTCCTTGGTGAGCATGTCAGTCCCTTACATAGAACCTATTACGTTTTACTTTAAACAGAATTGTGACAAGTGAGGCTATCTGGATTCCCAGTCTACAACAGACTGAGCTGCCAATCAGAAGAGGAGGGCAATGTTAGAGGGAGCTATGCTGGTAACAGAGAAAGGACAATAGATTGTCAGTTAGTGAAGGGGGAGAGAAAGAAAGTACAAAAGGTAGAGATAATCACTAAGTCAGAGCATCCTGGAGTCCTTCAGTGCAGGGACTGATAGCTTTTATGCCACCCGGGAGGATACCTAACACCTAGGAAGAAGCCTTGTATACAATAGGAACTTGATGTGTTTCTTGAATCCACTACAAGCTACTACAATAATTACTTTTAATAAAATTGACACTGAATTGTCAAGAAAATGTCAAATGATATCCAATAAACTGCTTAAAGAAACAGAAACATTTATAATACATTTTAGAAAATCTTTGTATAACAGTTAAAATAGTTTTTTAAAGTTTGACAACCCCTCTGCCAAAGGGCCAAGCTCCAGTTTTGCTGATCATTATTTAATTAGAACAATTTACTTTGTATCAATCCTGAATAAATGATGCACTATAGAAGGCAGGCTTTACTAATTTGCCTTCAGCAGATTTTAAACTGAGGCATATGCAAATAATATGGTGTTATGCGAGGTTTAAACTGTATAATATGGCAACAGATTGCACAGTTGAATCACTAGGGTGATGTAAAATAATTGTTCTAAAATGTACCATCACCGTTAAGCAAAACATTCCTAACCATGTGCCTGGCATTGTGCTGGATTTATTAAGCATTAATTTGAAAAATTGCTTTCACTTTCAGGATCGTGAAGGTATTCTGAAACTCTCATTCATATTTTTGAAGGTTAAGTGAAATTTTAAATGCACAACGCAGCCATTACATAACAGGCATAGAATACAGTTTTATGACTTGGATAGTTTTTGTTTTAAGCGCATTAGCAACTTTATTTTGAAATGCTATCAATTCTTAGGATATGAAAACCTACATATAGGAATGGAGTTCATACACTCACTACTCTTATGTAATAAGCGTTTTAACACAGGCATGCCATTTTAGCGTTCAGGGTAAAACTAAGCTATACTTTAGCGTTTTTGAGTCAAGCAAAAACGATTTTAGCAACGGCACTCATTTCCCCTGCTAATTTTTTTCATGGCGAGTTACTAAATGCTAGAAGCTAGAGTCAAAAAGAAACCTGACATCTGGGGAGGTGTTGAGGGGGTGTTAATAGTTCTAGTTAGATGTTTGGGGAGCGTTGAGGATACGATTTTAAAACAGCAAACACTCGGAGAAGGGGAAATTATGGTTTCCTATGACTTTCTCCCTTCACCAATTTGTAGCCCCCCCCCCCCAATTTAGAGGCGGGTTCCGTGAGATTAGGCTGCAGGAAACTGAGAGGCTCCACAGTGCTGCCGCCCCGGCCTCGTGATGTAACTGTTATTTCTTATTCGGAGGCTGAACCGAGGAGAGCTGCTGAAGAAGTAGCGGCCCTGCTCCTTTTGCCTTGTCTAGTTGGGTCAGATCCTTCCCGGTGATGTAGACTGGCCGAGGGACTCCGCTGGAGGCTTCGCAGTGACAAAGCAGCTGACGACAAACCCCGTTCTGGGTCCTACGTCTGTCCAGGGAGCTGACCCGGGCACTCCTCAGGTCTCCTCCCTAGTTTCCTTCCCGGAGTCGCTCCACACTGTCACTGGGTGCCTACTACGTGCTGGGCGTGGGGTCAAAGTGACCTAGAGTTCGTGCCCGTGCCCCCCAAGACTAAAGCAGGACACACAGATCACAAGCAGATGGAAGGGAGGCGGCGAAAGGGGCGAGGGAACGCGCGTCGTGGGGTGAAACGGGCGGACGGAGACGCCTTAAGCGCCAGCACCCAGGCGGGGGCCCTGGGGCATCTAGGGCGCTCCAGCCCCCAGGCTGCGCCCCAAACGTGAGCCCTTGGGCCTGGGTAACGAGACCCCCCCGGGCCCCAGGGAGGAGCTGTCCAGGCGCCCACAGTGGTCGGGAGCGGCTGGGCAGAGCCGGGAGCCAAGGGGGACGGCCGGGCGCGCCGAGCACCCACCTCTCCCGGCCGACGCGCTCCTCTCGCTGCCTCCGGCCCTGCGGCCCCGGCTCGGCCATCCGGAGCGCGGGCGAAGCGGAAAACAGCAAAACAGCGGGGGCTCCCGGCGCCCGCGAGCTGCCGGGATCCGAGCGCTTCCTCCCGACCCGGCGACAATGGGAGGGCGGGGGAAAAAAGGGTTAAGAAACTTGGCTGAGGAGCTGAATGGCGTGGAGCGGCGAGGGGAGGGACTGGGCCGCGCGGACTCGCGGCGGAGGGAGGAGCGCGGCTGCGGGCGGGCGGGCGGCGAGCGAGGCGCTCAAGTCAGCCGCGCAGACATTGCAGCAGAGCCCCGAACTCGGGAGGCGGCGGCGGCGGCCGAGGAGGAGGAGGAGGCGGCGGCCGAGGCGGAGGGACGACCCGGCCCGCGCCCGCCCGCCCGTGGCCTCGAGTCCGCCGCTGGTTGGAGGGAAGAGCTCGCTGGGGCGCCGGGGAAGGTCGGGGCGGCGGGGCGCCTTCGCGGAGTGAGCCTGACGGAGCCGGAGGCTCGGAGCCGCGGCGGCCTCGGTGAGTAGCGGCCGCGGCCGGGGGCCCCCGAAGGGCGGCCGCCAGCGCCGCCGGAAATGGCCTTGGAGCGCGGCCCGCGGCAGTGCCGGCGTTGGCGGGCAGGGCCGCCGGGCGTCGAGGCGGCGGGGACAGCGCGGCCGGCCGCGGGGTGGGCTCGCGGCGGGGGAAGCCGTTTCCGGGGAAATCCTGCCTCTCCTCCGGGCTCCGAATTTTCCCGGGAACCCGGGGTCCTGGACAGCGGGGCCGGCAAGTTGCGGAGTTGGCTCCGGGCTCGTCCGTCCGTCCGTGCCAGTCCGGGGCCGAGGGGCGGCCGCCGTGTGTCCCCTGCGCCCGGCCGCACACGGCTGCCCCGGGCGCCGGGCTGGGGGCGCGCTCCGCTCGGCCGCCCGCTCGGCCCAGAGCCCCGGGCGCTTCTCGCCGCGCCCGCTCTCGGACCTGCTGTCCGGCGGCGTCCTGGGCGGCGCCGGGTGCCTGCCTGCTGTGTGCTCGCCCGATTCCCAGCCAGGAAAAGTGACCAGGAGAAGGGGCAGCTCTCCCGGCCCCCACCGGACCCCCAGGCCCCCTCTGCCAGCACTTGTCCGTCCCCTCCCGAGGGCGAGGTTCCTGGACCCGAGGCCTCAGCCATCATTTTACTCCTGAGCCAGGAACCTGGCTCGCATTTAGGGTGAGCCCCGAGGAAGTCCTGGGAGGCTTTGGGAAGCTGCTTTTCTCTATCCTGTGCCTTCCCTCCTTACTACTATCGAATGTTGTTGTTTTACGAAGGGTTTGCGTGGAAATATTCGACATACCCTCCCATCCTTTCCAAAGTAGTTTCCGAATTTTAATCAGCAGTCTTTCAGTCTGAAGGAACAAAGGAATCAACTGTGTATTACAGGCGGACAAGCTGAGAGTCTGTGACACATGTTGATCTCTAAAGCATTCCAGGACTTTCTACCCTCTATCATGTTAGTGATTTAATTGGGTTCCAAAGGTAGCAAAAGAAGGACAGAATGATTAGCACTTTTGCGTTTTTAAAATATTTTTTAATGGGATGTTTTATTTTGGGAAAAAAGACGTTCTCAGGTACAAGGATTTTCAACTCAGTTGGTGGAACCTAGCTGGAGTTTGTCTCCGTGCAAATGATTGAATGTGAGATTGTGAGGAAATATGTCTTTAGAGGAAGAAAGATCATCTATAGGTGTCCAAAGTAAAAATGGTTGTCAGGTTATTTATGATGAGTGCTCTTTATATTTCTTGGGGGAATTTGTGAAGCAAGGGGCTTTGGTAATTCATTCTTTAAAGTTATGAATTGCGTTGAACCTGCTTATTAGTGAATCATAGGTTTAGCAAGTGGGTGGCATTATTCAATGTTTAATCATCAGTTTGCCACCTTTGTTGTACAGACAGTGAAATAATAGACTTTTTAAACAAATGGTGCTTCATCTGCCTGGCCCTAAGTGTCAGTTGCTGCCTGGAATATGTTGAAATGTTTTTCAGCTTCCAAGTGAGTAAGTCGCTCTAGTTTTGCCCAGCAGTTTGGTAATGTCCATAGGGTTGAACTGGCTCAGGGAGCAGTGGCTTCATCACCAAATAGTAACTTTGCTCTGCTTGGATTTAGTTGCTACAGACAAAGAAGGAGACTCAATCAATGGAGCAGCTACTATGCAGGCTGTAGAATTCCTTACTGTAGTCTGTTTCATACTCTCCTGGGCAAAGATCTCTTTCCAAACTTACCCTAAAAAGTAGCCTAGGACTGTGAGTAAAATATATACATCTTTTTTAAAAAAGGACTACTATTACTCAAATGAGTTCTCTACAGTGCCTTGGAGGTAGTTGAAAACCAGGTTTAATGCCTATGGGAAGACTTGACTTAGAACCACTTCTTACATGTGTTTCTAAACTCCACAGAACTTGGATTTTACTCATTTAAACACTCTAAAATAGTGTAAGTTTGCACTAAAGAAATGTGTGAAGAGGCTAAAGGCTCTTCTGACTCTTTCAGTTTTAAGAGCAAAACGTCATGATAAAAAATAACCTATACCACCACCTAGAGTCTGTTTGTTAGTTTATTGCTCCTGAAGTTTGCTTAACTTGACATGTCTCTTACAGTTCCGATATAGTCAAAAAATGATTAAGAAACGATGACTTTCAAAAGGCCATCCAAGAGAACAATTATTTAAGTAATAAATAGCAAGTGCCAATTTAAATTATCCGAGCCACCTTTAGGATTGAAAATTATGATATATCATGTTGAATGGGCTATTCTCCAAAAGATATTAATTCAAAAGAATTTAAAACAGGGAAATTTCAGCTCATGCTCCAAGGTAGCTCTGATTGCTTAAAGACTTTCTGTGTTATCGTAGAGTCAAGAAATCTTACAAATTAAATGCCAGTAGAGCTTTCTGAGGTCCAGGTGAAACAAAAGCAATGATAAAAATATAGGGGAGCATTACAACTACAGAAATTCTGGAAACTCAAAAGTTAGGAGAGAATGTAGGCTGTGGCAGAGTTGTGGTTCAGAGACGTGAAAAGTAAAATCGATGCGAATTAAAGTGGTAATCTGTTTTCCTGGTGGTTTATGTGTAGTAAAGCAATCTATTAAATGGGAGACATTAGGGAGGCAGCTTTGTTGGCCATGTGGCTCATCACATTGTCCATGGAGGAAGTAATGTTCCTCCTTTAAGTGGTATAGCCTGAGAGAAAGATGGCCTCCAAGATCTTTAATTAAATACCAGTTGAACAGAGAGAACTAGAGCACTGTATTAATTCTGTCAAACATCACTATTTTAGAACATTGAGGACAACTAAAAATGAATTAACTCATATCTGAAAGTAGAGTTTTATGGAAGGTGACAGATGAGGCAAAATATGTCAATCTAATGGAACAAATAAGATAAGGAGATATACCATCCTTGACTCTTTAGAAAGATGAGAGGAAGGGAGATCATTATTAATTGCACAGATTCTATTGGAAACCAGTAGTAGAAGACAGTGACATAGAAGTGATTTTAAATCATAGCAGCATAGGATATATGAGGTTAAAGGATATATGAGATTAAAGGAATTAGGTTTTTAAGTTTAAAACCTAAAGAAGGTAAGAAACTTAAAAGCTCGTGTTTTAAGTGTTGTTTGGGAATTACAGTAATAGTTTTGTGCATCAGGTTGAAAGATAATTCTGCTAAGAATAAGTTTAAAATATGTAATTTTTATCAAGAAAAAATTATTCACTTTAAATTCTTATGGGGTTAGTTTTGCTTTTCCTAACTTTAGATTGTCTGATACAGTTTTTAAAGTGAAGGTTAATAGAAGAGTTCTAGTGTCTCTCCCTCTTCCTCTCCCCCATCCCCTTTTCTCTCTTCCCCTTTTCTGAAATAAACAGCTTCTACATCTTTGGATGTTTTCTTCCATGAAAATTGCCTTCGTTTGCAGCTTCCTTTCTTGGCTGTGGTGGGGTGAAGTTTCTTTACTCTTGTACTTTTTCCCCTCTGCCCTTTCAAGAGATTGATACGCAGAGTGAGTTTTGTTTTGTTTTGTGTTTTTAATAATGATTTACTGTTACATGGATGGAGACTGGGAAAAAGCATTTGCTATTCTGCATACCCATGTCTTCCAACTGGAGAAATATTTTTATTAATGTAATTTTGACTACTATTGAAAAGTCAAAGAAGCATTTTCAACAGACTGTGGTGGGGGGACTTTCAGGATGTTTGAGTCCGAATCTGTGAATTGAGTTGTTCAAGATGCATTTCCTTAAGTTGCAGTTTTTTTCAGGGGACTGTCTGGGGAGGAAATAAGTGAACTCATTCTGTAGTATTTAAATAAAACAATATGAGGAACATAACACCAGGATAGTCGCTAAGACTTGAGAAGGTAAAAACCAGGAGTGTCAGATGATGAAGCAGGCCATTGGAATGGAGCTGAGCATTATGCAGAGAGGTTGGAATGATCAAAAAGTAAATGGAGGAAAGAGATCTTGTTTCTATATCCTGTTTGCATCTGATGCTGAAGCAAGGACATGAATTGCTGATGGTAATGGATTCCCGTCTATGAGGCCAACAATATT